TTTTTTTTCTTATAAACATTATTGATTAGAATATATAAGCATCATAGATATTCACTATTATGATTATGATTATACATCATCATTATTATCACCTTTGTTGTTATTACCATAATTATTATTATTATCAGTATTATTAATTTTCATTTTATTGTTATCATCATTATCATGTTTATTATTTTTTTATTATTATCATTGTTATTATTATTATTATTATTATTATTATTATCATTATTATTATTTCATTATCATTACTATCATTATTACAACTATCATCATTATTAAAACCATTATAATTATTATCATTATTATCATTGTCATTGTCATGATTATTATCACTATTATCATTATCAACATTATCATTGTTATTAGCTTTGTTATTATAATTATTATTATCATTATTGTTATTATCAATATCATTTTTATTATTATCATCAATATTATTATTATTATTAATATCATTATCATTATTATCACTATTATTTTTTCTATTATAGTTATTATAATTATAGTCATTGTTATCACTAACATCATCATCATTATTTACCAATTTACTTACCTTTTTAAAATAATAATAACAACAACGATAAGAACAACAATACTACTACTATTACTACTACTACTACTAATTACCATTATTATTATTACTATCATTATTCTTATCATCACCATCATCATCACGCACGTACGCTTGCCCTTGTGCGTGTCCGTGTTCGAGCGCGTGTGTGTGTCTTTTTTTAAACCAACGATGTTCGCCTTTCAAGGAACACCCTTTCCTCGCATGGAGATTGCCCCACATATTTGCTCTGCGCTTTTGTCAACGTGGTATAAAAGCCATAAAATTGTCTCATTATCTTAATATATCACAAACTTTCGTTGATATTATTTCAGAACGTAGCGCTTTCGCCGATGCTTCGAATGTTCGTACATGTTACAGGAGCAAGACTTAGATATAGAAAGGAATATTTATGTTTTGAAAGTATATTCTTTTTTTCTTCATCATTGTTGTCATGGGTATCATCTGATTAAAACAAAGTTATTGGCCTTTTCTTTCTTTATAATTTTCAACATATACATTTTTTTATATCAGTCTCCGTTAAGTAAACATTGGATTATCATTATTCATATGACTTTGCATTTTCGTCCGTGTATAAGATGCTGGTCTGCATAATCTTTTCTTTCACGCCCTTATATAAGAGTTTACGCCTCCAAGTGTCTTTGGATATGCTATAAAAATGCGTGCAAATATTTATCCAGTTTTTATAGATATACGGCCGGTCTGTTAAATTGAGCGAGGCCCGATCAAATGAATGTTCATTATAGGGACATACATATATACAGAAATAGATACATATCTAGACGTGCATATCTACCGGATAGATAGATATATAAATGTATATCCACCAAATAGATAGATAGATATAGATAGATATCCATATATATATCCACCAAATAAATAGATATATAAATGTATATCCACTAAATAGATAGATATATAAATGTATATCCACGTATATCAACCACCAATAGATATATCGATATATCCACCCAGATATATGAATATAGCAGTATATCTAACTATATCCACCAAATAAATAGATATATAAATGTATATCTAGATAGAGATATATAGTATATCAATAGATAGATATACATTTAATCTCTGTATATGCATGTCCATAAGTACGAATATGGGTCGGCCTTTCCTTTTAGCAAACCGGAAGAAGGAGTCGAACCCACAAGTCCTAGCTCTTCCCCGGAGCAAGCAACACTAAACTTCCTAATGAGTCGTTAGAACTTTATCCTGAAACTCTCTGGCGTAGAATGGGTCACTGCGTTCGAATCCTTGCGTTAGAAATGAGTGGCGTACACAGGTAGGTCTCAGTTAGGATGAATAGTGTGCTTCAAGTTTGTTTTCTTATTCGGGAACATTATAACTGAAAGTATGTTAATTGTGGTTTTGACAATGATTATCTCTCTCTCTCTCTTTTTTTTTTTTTTTGCATAATTTTACTTTTATTCAGTAATATATACATTTACATATGTACGCATTTTATTCATGTATATTCTACATATATATAGATTATGTACATTATGTAAAATAATACATATTTTACAATATGTACAGGGATATACATTTTACACATGTACAGCAATATATATTTTGCATAAATACATCCATTCTAATTTCACGCGCAGCAGCAATATGAATGTCAAAATACCAGCCAATTCCACTCAATGTCCCTGGCAATGTACTCCGCTAATTCACCAATCAATACCCGCTGTCCCTGTGATCTCATAATGGTCGGAGTAGCTTGCGGGAATCACTGACCGGGGAGTACTCTTCCCAACAGATACGTATTATTCTGAGCCCCAAGTGTATCCGCATCTGCAAGTGGCTTCATTACCCCACCATGCATAGGCAGCCTGATACATTCGCATGGCGGCGCAAATGCATGCAAATAGACTAATGTAATTCTGCTTCGAAATCTAATTTACTGAC